AGGTATAACAGAATTGTTTTCAGTGATAAAACTGAAACGGTTAAATATTCGCCACAGTTACACTTGTTGTATTTGCTACGTGATATTGAGTCGTGAAACTAAGATTTGTTGGCTTGAAACAATTGCCCCCTTCCACTAATGATTACTGGAATGAAAACAACTCGCCCAGAGCAACTGTGTATTATTATAAATTTTGTTGCAGAAAGTCAACTTCATAGCTTAATATAGAAAGTGAATACTGGATAGTCAAGCTGCATCACTCCTGTTATTCACCTTGTGAGTATTGCAAAAGTAAGGTTATGTCATAATGTGACATAGTTAAACGACTGATAACTGGATTAAACTGACTGAACTTATGTTTTATGCATATCGATTCTCATCCACTGGGTGTGTAATTAACTTCGAAAGAACTGACATCCGAAATAAGAACAAGCAGTTCTGAGAAGAGTCACTTTTCAGTGAACTGCTTCACTTAGCTGTACGCTTGCAATGATATTTGATTATTTTTGTATGTATGTAAATTATTATTATTATTCCCTTGGGTTCCGAGTGGAACATAGGGCTTCAACAACACATATCCACTTTCTTCTATTTTCCGCTGTCGTCTTCAGATGGGTCCACGACTGCCAATAATCTGTCAACTCCTCCTCCCCAAACGATCTCCTCCATGTCACTCCCGCACAGGTGACCCACTCGTCTCTTCCCATTGGAATTCCACTCGAGTGATGGCCTGCATTGCGCACGATGTTATTCGACGGTCTCTTTGATGATGTTTGTCCAATCCATCTCCACTTTCTTTCTCTTATTTGTTGAGCGATCGGCTCTCCGTTGGTTTGTTTCCAGCCAGAGTTTCTTGTTAATAATTCTTTCTGGCCATTTTATATTCAGTATGGAGCCACCTGTTGAAGACAGCTGGTGATAAATGTCTGTAACTTGTTGGAAATTTTCTCCGTGACACACTGGCCAAGTTTCTCACCCGTATGGGAGAATTGACTGAATGACTTCACATTTGTGTTGAGTCTTGTTCTTTATGCTGGCTGAGTGCAGAAGATTTCCAAATTGGTTCCAGGTTGATGATAATGGCATATCTTGCCTTTCCGATTCTGATTTTGACGTCTGTATCCATGCTTCCTAGATAAGTGAGTGAAGGAAGTAACCTCTGTCATATCTCTCTCGTTGATGGCCATTGATGCTGGTTGTTGTTACTGTTGGTTGGTTATTTTCATCACCTCCGTCTTCTGTAGATCCACCTGGAGGCCCGTCTGCACGACTGCCTCTTCGGCCAGCTTGCTGGTTCTTGCCTGCAAGTTTTCGAGTTTGTGTGACACTAGACATATATCGTCTAAGAAATCCAGGTCTTCTACAGTTTTCTTATCGGTCCATTGTATTCCTGTCTCCTCATTAGGTTACATTAGGCTTGTCGAACAAGAAAAAAAGTTAGTTTGGGTTGGTGTTTACATCATCAAAACACTTCAAAAATGTGATTAATAATCAAAATTGTAAGTAGAGTGTGTGTGAATATCCATATGTCTTGTCTAGGGTTACGTAATTGTATGTTAATGAATAAGCATAGAGCCAAGTATCAAATTAAATTACACAGCAGATGAAAAGAGTAAGAAGAAGGTTAGTTTTAAAAAACGATGGCACTAAATGCCATAGAAAATATGCACAAATAACGTAAGTAACAAAAATTGATAACAGTTGAACTTGGAATTATACCCAAGGTAGAAGGATGTGGCATGGGAAAGATTTTTCTATATGCAAAAATCAGGTTCTTCTATCCGAATCGCCAAGGCCTTAACAATGCAAAGTATACGGATTCTTACCGTTTTCGTGAGGGTTCTTATGACCTTGCGGATAACTGTGAATGAATTCCCCTTGCCTACTTAGTGACCACTGCTGAGTATATACTTCATTATACCACCCCTTATTGATCCAGTATCACCTTTTCATAGCCAAGAAGGATAATGTTCTTTGACTTTTCTAGATGAAACACTCATCGAACTACTGGATTTGGCAGTGATCCAATGTAGAACTGTATTATGCAAGTTATTCTGTCCTCGGTAACCATAATTAGTAGCATATATTGTAGTACAAAAGTTTATTTAATTGTCAGGCTTATACTTTATTCACCAAACAGGAAACTTATTTCTTCTGTTCACATAACTTAAGATGATACAAAGAAAGAATAAAAATCATTAAGAAGATAAAGAATGAATAGATCATTACTTCCGAATAGTTTGAGCAACTATGACCGTGGGATTCTACAATTCTCCATTTGTGTGGTCTCCTTATAGTTCAAAAATTAAAGCTTCCACTGTGCCAAATCAAAAAATATTAACAATTCTCCATTGCATGCTATTGCTTAATAGCTCACAAATGTTCTATTACCCATCAGGAATAGTCTGAATCATTATAAGTAAATAATAATTAAAATTTAATAAGTCACATCAACGTATTCTGGAAGCGAACGATATCTCTGAATGTCTTCTCTCCCTTCGTTAATGTCCACATCAGTGAAACTGTGTGCTTTCGATGTAGATTTATCTAGGATAATAATTTTGACCTAGGTGTTCGGATCCATTACTTGAAAGAAGTACTACTGAGGAGCATTTTAATATCCAGTACAAGTTCATTGACACAATTTATAGATAAAATGACGGGGCATGCATTTTTCCTCTACTTGTTGACTGCTTCATAGTAAGTCCAGAAAATAATATGTCACTATCCACTACTGAAACTTTCGATTTGCAGGAGAGTTACATGGATGATACCCTGATCATATCTGAAAAAGATGCTGACATCGGAATGGTAATGGAAGACCTCATTAATTGCCACCATTCACATCGGAATCAGAGGTGAACTGTGAATTTCATTTTTTTGGATGTATTCCTGAAGAGGAGATGTGACAGTTCTCTTCAGAGATCATTCTACAAGAAATCAACATAGAATGATCAGTGCACATATTTTCATAGTTAGAACCCTCTGAGGAGAAAAAGAAACCTGATCCAATCCTCATCTTTAAGCACAAGAAAGACATGCACTAGTGATACAATCTATAATTAACTGGATAGACCTGCGCAAGTCCCCATTAGAAATGGATATCCTACAAGATTCCTCGAGAAGAACATGAAAGGAAGGCGGCGACCTGAAAGAATCCAAGCGGTGCTGAAGGAATTGTTATTTAGGAATGTTGAATTCTGGGGAGATACGGTGACTGATATCCTGAAGAACCGCTTATCCAAATAGCTGAAGAAAGCATTCTTTAGGGATGAGCTTCATATGTATTTTTGCAGTAGACAAATGAAAGAGGAACTACCTCTTCGGGCTGCTTGATTGCCACAAAAAGCGCGTACTTCCAAAACTCATCTCTGAACATTATCTGACTCAATTATCAAGAAACTATGCAGGATAATTGCTAACTGAATTCTTAAACACCTGGTGAACTCAGGCCACACAGCTTCATCAGACACTTCTTGGGACAAAGGGTCTTCAGTTTCGGCATTTTTTATGTGGTGGAGGCGCCGATGATTCATCAATATAACCCTTAACTCTGTGTACCGAAACAAGTTTTTCCACTCTCATATCCTACTATAGTCCGAAACTCCTTTTTAATTGCTAGTTTCTATTTTAAGTAACAAATCCACTGTTATCACTCTTGTTTGTAGATTTCATTCATTTTACCACGTTGTTTCTTCTCATCTTATTCACATCTTTCAAAAAGACACTCCACCGTCTTGCTTCTCATATAATAACAATTTTCATCAGTATTAAATTCAAACCCTATCCTCTGTTACGTCACTGATGACTGTGTAATCTCTTTTTATCCTAAGAAGCCACTTCTGAGTAATTGTATTAACTATGTCTGACCTCTCTATCACTCAATAATAGAATGCCAAAAGTTTCCGGTTCCTACAAATATGGTTGTACGGCCTTTTGAAGGTGACTTCATCAATACACCAACCAAGAATTCATAGCCCAACAAATATGCTGAAGAAAATGAAGATGGATTGGACGCACTGAGGATACTGTTGAGTGACATCACACGCCAGGCCAAGCTCTCCAGCGAAACCCAAAACAGGGAACGACGAGTCGGGAATCCAAGGGTAAGATGAAGGGGATTGTGTGAGGAAGAGACAATGGCTTATGGTTTATCATGGAGCCAGCTAAAAAGGACTGACGAGAACAGGATGAAATGCTGATGCACTGTTGAAGCGCCATATTCCGCTTGAAATCCAGGGCAATAATAATACTAATAATCACCGATAGTTAAAATTTTCTTCACTGAATGGTCTTTTATTTTCTTCAACTTGTGGAGGCCGAAAATTATCAAATTATACGTTCATTGTAAAATAGTAAAAATAATGAATTCAATGTTCATCAGGGCTGTGACTTGAGATTGAATAAGGACATGACCTGGTTCAGAGCGCAATACGGACGACACAACTTCCCTCTCCAGCTTCTTGCTTTCCACTATTGCCAATCATCTCTGGATTGTACCTGATCCGTACATCCACATTCGGATCCTTTGCTTCAATCTACTTTTCTCTCCGCAAGTACCCTTGGACCGTTGGCATACTCTTACGTGGAGTCAGCAACTGTATATCCCAGAAAAAGGACTACTTCATCACTGCAATTCTGTATGTCTATATTTGTGTATTTTAGGACAATTATAACTCACCAAATAACTGTATTTTATGTGTATATTAATTTGTGTGGACTGAATTCTTCTCTATATACGTATATGTTTGTATTTGTTTTATCCTTTTTATTCCGCGTATAAACGAACTAAGCCGTTTAGTCCACAACAAACTAAATCACTTTCTTGTACTTATTCGCACAATACCTTTACATTCTTTTCGAAGTTGTAACTGTACCTTACTAAAGAATTACTAGATGGTAATTGGATGAAGTCATCCAACTTCACGTCGACTTACAAATGTACGGTTTCAATAAAAAATTAACTATACTGAAATATAAATACACAAAACAGTTTCTTTTCGCATATCTGATATTTAACAGTTTGATGTTTAACAGGTGTTTTCTTTTAACAGGAAGTATCACAGGTTGTTCAGAAGTAATTTTCGGAATGAACCAAAAATCAGGTTTATGAGTACGTACTCAAAAAGCAGAAGAATAATCTAACAACATTTAACTCAAAACAAAATAAAATTTTTTTAAAAAAGAAGGAAAGCGAAACTTTATTAATTGAGTACAACTTCTTTCCAATTAAAACTCAAATTGAAAGAAAGGAATGTCTTTTTTATCGATAAAACTGGAAATTCAAATTAGGCTGCGTAGCGAAGCAAAGCATTGAACATTGAACAAACATCACAGAATATAAAAGCAGTGATTGTAGATTTCTCTTTTCATAGTATAAGAAACAAAATGCATTTTGGTTGTTTAAAATAGTAGAAATCGTTGTGAAGACTATACGTTTTAGGTCATGATTTTCAAATAAAATTATTGTTAAAAAACTACAACACAGAAATTGATTTAAACAAATCTAATTAGTTTTTCCTTTCAAAGTGTTCACTACTTCAAATAAAAACCAAAATCCAAGTAAAAAGCGAAATTACGTGCTTTTTGAGAGGAAATTAGAGAGAGGAAAGCAACAGGAAATAATTTTTAATAACTTGATTCATGTATGAAATACAAACTTGAGGATATAAAAAACAATAGTTAACAGTGATAACACTTCATTCTATTAAAATCAAACTAGATGACGTGGAGTTGTAGGTGTACGGAATTGTAGGTGATTGTAGTTGATCCACTCTTCGGTAGATTTCCAATTTGAAATTGATTATTGTAGATTCTCTCCACATTATTAGTGGAACGTCAGCCTTTTTCACATATCAGCATAAGGATAGTTACTATGAGGCTTAATATGTAAACGGTAAAATGATTGTACTTTAACTTCTGATTCCTAAGTGCTTTGCCATGGCAGTCTTCATTTATGATACATAAATATACATATAAATTGTATGAACCGCGCAAAAATATTACACCATTTTTTTGATTGTATCACAGTCCATTGTACATTGAATAAAATGGAAAGCCAAAAAAATAAACATAACTAACAATTGAGGCATAAAATTTCTATTGTAATACTCCTTGATTATATATTGTTATTGATTCATAGAGCTTCGCAGTTGACGTTTCAAACATTTTCGATACATATTCATGATATTATTGTTTTTGGTAGTTTTCTAGTTAAAAAAACAAAACGTAAAATAAATAATAGTAATAATAACAATAATAATAATAAACAAGAGTCAGTGATATGATTATGAGCAGTAATAAATTGTACTCGAAAAGTTATCCAGTTATTAATGTTGTATCATTGTGTGTTATATCAAATCAAACTCATCTAGTATGGATAGTCACATTTGTGTTGTCAAATAGTGTAGCCTAGATTTTGCCATACAGGTGTAAGTACACTTGTGACTTTTCTTCACTCTGGATGCATTATGACTTTCTTTCTAGTGTTTGACTATCTTTTACCCCCTTGTTTTATAGTAAGCAGTCTGTCGCTTTTTATTTACACAATCTTTACCCTGACAGGATCAATTTCTTACTTATTCGACCAACGGTTCGAGATCGAAACTGGTTATAAGCCGCTATACAATGGCTAAAGACAGCGAGAGACCCACATGGGAAAATGTCTCGGCAGACCTTGCGACTTCATCATCTGTGCGTCGGTGGCACAGTGGTTATGACTCTCGCCGACCATGCACATGGTCCGGGGTTCGATCCCCTGCCAACGCACACCCGATATCTATGGTCGGCCTGCAAAATTTGAGCTACCGATATCCATGCTGAAAATTCCATACCTGTACCTAAAAATACGATGTGGCATCAAGCTATAATCAAAATAATAATAATTTTCTAGGGAAAGAAAATTTAATGGTACGTATTTTTTCCTAGACCTGAAAATGAGGCTAAGTTATCACAAACTACATACGAAACTACATAAGAAATCTATTAGGGCTTGCCTGCAGCCAGGGATGGGACCCTACTTTAAATAGAACAATGCAGATGATCACTAGTGGAAAGAAAGTAAATCAATCTACGGTTAATGGAGAGCTAACCATGCTACTCAGGCAGAAGGATGGATTACGAGTGAACGCCTATGAAACTCTAACTCGTCGAGAGAATGATGGAAGCTGAATGGCGGTAATAATATTTGTGATACAGGTGTGGAATTTTCAGCGTGCATTACAATATTGCATCTGATTACCTCATAAATTTTATAAGATTTTAAAAATAAAAAGCAACAACTACAAAAAGAAAAAAAGAAATAAAAGAAATGAAAAAGAACAGCATTGCATTCATATTTTAAACAATGCACCATAGGATATAAAATGTAAAATTAGTGTGTAATAGAATATTTGAGCAACAATATAATAGTAACAAAGAAAGGAGTACAAAAGCTAATGGGAACTATTTGTTAGAGTGCCGCAGTAAGTTGATCGTGTCATACCTAACGGATTTCTCATCACATAACAGCTGTGCCGGATAAGGTATTGTGGAGTTCTTGTACTTGGTAGTCCTAGCATATATAATACCAGAGTTCTTACGCCCAAAAAATGAAATTTAAACTCTACGCTTATGGGTAGTTTTAAGAATGACTCATTCATTTTACTTCGCCTAAGGTATAGAACTCCACTGTAGAAAACCAGTGAAATAAGTGGTACAAAAGAATCAGCAGTATTCAAAACATCGCTTCATTTGTCCCTTTAGACATCAGCATTGTTCTGATAGCAAGTGCTTAGTGGTTTTTCATTACATGTTAGATGTAGCCTAGAATTTCAGCTGGCTGGCTTGAGTACATCAAACTTTTAGCTAGCGTTTAATATTTTGTTGTAGCTTACACAAAATGAAGTCCAGAACAATCTCCTATCTTTCTAAACCCATCGAAAATGTACTAGGTAACTTTATGATATTTTAATCAAACAGTGAAGTCAAATAGCACCAGAACAAGTTTGATGATTGACAGTAAATATCAACCAACGGTCATTTTGACTGAGATATTGACTAAGACTGTAGGAAACTATCACGCATAAAAGCCTAAGAATGGGAGTATTACTTAAAAATGGCTGAAGTTCACAATGGCGGAACGTTTTTCTAGTGCTACTTAGTATATTTCAAATCTCTAGTTGATTCACATACACTGGAATAGCTGCCTTCAAAAAACTTAACTCAATTACTCTACCATACATTTAAAGGGTATAGTGATGATTTTCAACTTCCTAGGCTATATCATACACCACATATTTCTTTGTTTGAACACTAGGAAGTAACTAGTGTCACACGTCTATTCCTTCAGTTGGCTCAGACTGAATTATACCAGTTAAGTTTGTAATGTGACCAGCACACTAGGTATTTCGCCATCACAGTGCACTCTTATCTGCTATTAGATCAATGGAAGCAGTCTAAAGAAAGCTTAGGACCAAAATCTCGTACACGTTGGCACTCGTCAGTTAGGCGTATACATAATCCTGAAGGAAATCATTTCCCTTGTGAAATTCAAACCGGCGTCACCCAGTGACGCAGTCACAGATAATATCACTGAGCTATTCAGGCTTGTGACTAAACCCCTGTAGGACTATATTGGATACTTTGATTAGACACTAGATAATTAATAGCGTCCAAGGGGTCGATCCTGAGCCAAAATAACCCAGTGGTAAAATCTCTGACTAGAGCACTGGGTGACCCCGGTCTCGAAAGTCAACAAGCGTGAAACCTAAGGTCAAGGCTTCCTATTGACTGCCTTTAACTGTGTAACTACATATGTTTCTCAGGTACTCCAAAAATTGGCTCACTCTCTGCTTTAGATTTTTGGCTCATGATAAAAATTAAGTTGACGATCAAAGCTACGTAGAATTACTGCTGACCAGAAATTTAAACATAAACAGGTATCTAAGCGTAGCAGAGCTTCAAGTTTTATCACGAGCTAACATCGGTTAAAGAACCATTAAAAACTAGGGAGTACTGGGTACCTGTTTCGTCTCATTTTGGGACTCTTCAGAAATATGCACTCACTAGGGTTCGAACCCAGAACCTTACAGTTGCATGGCGAACTCGTAAATCATCCAACTACTGGAGCCCGACTCAGCGGCCTGTGAATCCCAGCTTCTATCAATTTTTGAATTTAGCATGACCACCAGACAGTGTCATCGGTGACTGTTTGTCGCCACCTCCAACGTCATTGATCCCAATGGTTACGGCTTCTGACTAGAACTCCAGGCAACTTCGTCCTGTAGCCAATCACTAGCGAGCTTACCGTGTTACCGGAAGGTGCTTAGTTTGAACCCTGGCGGCTTCGAAACAGCTGTCCAGTACTCCTCAGTCTTTCAGTAATTCTCTAAATGATGTTAGCTCGTGGTCAAACTCGAATCGAATCAAATCCCAACAAAATGACTCTTGAAAAATATAAGAAACCTACTATGAGAGCTAAAGTATTATAATTGCTCGAAATGTACAAATGATAAATATTTTAGACTACTTACCAATAATCCACCAGAATGTCGCTCTCGCATAATGTGAATGAACTCTTGGTAACTTAAACAGTTATCTTCGTCAATATCGAACAAAGCAAATAATACAGTTAAAATATCTGAGCCTAATTCATTACCGGTACAAGCTTTGACTGCTCTTTTGAATTCAGCTAGAAAATATTCAGAAAAATAAAGGACAGAATGATACTAAAGTTGCACCTGGAAGTGTTTGAAGAAAATTCGTTTTTTTCAAAAACTTCATATTGGCATTTTATAACATTAGCAAGTATGTTGAAGTTCTCCCATACATAAACATAAAATTTCGTTAAGCTATAGGCAGCTGGCGTGTATCGAGGTATGTCTAACATCCTCAGAAAGTTTTTGAATACCAACAGACTTTCTGGATCTTAGCAGAAATATATTATACAGCATATGTTCACTTATAGATCAGTATAGTAAAACAACCTGAAAACTGCATTAAAACTCTTTTACTCATATATAAATATAATTTGCACACGGCATTTAATATTTTGATGAACATATTCCGATTAATTTTCTGACATTTTCTTTTCTTCACTTGATTAAAGCGAGCTAAATTGGTCCTCTATGTCAAGAACACCTAAAAATTTTAGTTTTACCAAATATATGGAATTCAGGGAGATAAACGAGACTGTCAGTTGTTAGCACACAAAGGGATCACCAGTTTTGTTAACTAGTGCCGATAACCAGTAGCTATTGCATACATAATTTGCAAGTAGAGATTACAAACTCCTTGATCTATTTAAACAGCAAGTGAGAACGTCATGCAGCCATCATATGATCAGGGCCATTTAACAGTTAAGTCAAGTTTCGTCAGTATTTTGAAGAAAATTAAATAAAACTAAAACGCGAATACACATTTTCATACAGATGCAATGGAAAACTGATAACATACGTAGTGATATCGGTTGTCCGGCAATAGTATACATTTTCACCGCTAATGCAAAATCATCCAGACAATTCAAAAACATGAAAAACTTTTGAAATTCGTCGAAGGAAATTGTCTGAAGGAAAACTTTACTTTAAATAAACAGCACGAACCATATTCGAAGGAACACGCTTTTGGAGTCGTGTTATAAAAGCATCATACTCAGTCGCAGAAACAGTAGTATAACGGAGTAAAATTCGAGCAAAATCAGTCGGAGTGATTGTAGACGAACCTAGTGCAAACTGTTGAAACTCAACTTCTAAGGCTTCTGTTTGCACATTTTGCATGAATCTATGGAATTTACTAGCAATATGGGAACATACCTTTCAAACTCCTGGAAACTGAGGTTTTTAGTTTTAGTATATCCAAAAAGGTGAGTCATAAGGGTAGTATTGTAGGCGTGCTCATTGGGAAGTACCTGCGATGTGAATTAAATAAGTTTATTCATCACGTACAAGATCACACTTTTCACTTTCACCAACTGATATATCTTCTGTGCTTTCTGCAATTATATGATTCAGCTGAAACAAACTGAATAATAAAATGACTAGTTACTGACAGTCATGAATTCTTTTGCATCAACGGAACCACTCATATCTCTGTCAAGCATTTTAAATGCTATTTCAAACCCTGAAGGAGACTCTGAAATAATAATTCAGTAGAACTAGATACCAAACTTGTGAGGATATGAAGCAGAAACAAATACTCCGAAAATGTTATTATGCCATCATTCTGCAAATTTCGGAAAAATCGAGATCCATATTTCTTCGCTGTTGCTTTCTTCATTATTCTATTGACAAATTCGGAATCTTTGGTAACATTGGTCTTCACTGAAGGTATCTTTACAGTTCAAAAAATGAAATTACCATCTGTTTGATCATTAACCAAAGAGCGTAAGAAGTCAGAGGGCGTCATGAGTATTACGCCGTGAAACTCTAAGGAAGCAAACGTGCGAAACTTCTCTTCTAGAGAAAGACGGCGAACATCAGTACTTGTACTCTAGTTACGAGTATCTTTCCCATCATTATCATATTCGTACCTTCATATATACATGTTTGCAGTCATTCACAGCAAAATAAAACACTCCTGACAATACTGATCCAAATGAAGCAAATATCACCGTATTTCTCGAGTTCACATTGATAATGGTACCCAAAAGCTTGCTAATCCTTTGCCCATACTGATTCCAAACCATGTGCAGAAGCAGAAACTCCGTAAACTTTCGTAACTGCAACAAGCAAAACTGTGTGGTTTAGCTTACTAAAACGCAAAATTAGTTCAAAGTTCAATGTACATATAGTCTAAGTTTACATGCGAGGATTTGTGTATCAGGATAAATGTTTTTCAAAAATTGTGAAAAGTCTAGGTGGTATGATAGTTATTTATTATTATTATTGTTCGCTTGGGTTCCTAGTGGAACATAGGGCTTCAACTGCACGTCTCCACTTGCTTCTGTCTTCTGCTGTACTTTTCACCTGCATCCATGTTATGATATTAATATGCGGTAAATTCGGTTTGATGTGTGCGGAAGGTGCACTTCCAAATAATTGTTCATCTCCAAGACAGAGAGCATACCTAATAAAATAAATCTAATGTGATGAAAAAGAGGTTCGCTTTTTCTACTACCATAATATAAGCTAAGGAAACGATGGCGTTAATTATTTGTGTCCTTGACTTTAGATTGTTATCTTTCGAGGTGCATTCGAGGGTAAATCATAGGGACTGCCTAAACTAATTCTTAATGAGCATGTTATGGCTCATTAGAATGCAAATATCTATCATTCATGTTGTGTTGTGATTTCCTTCATATACAGAACACTAATTAGAAATATTATTTTCAACTTCTCATTGGCCTGAGTTTCCTGGGAATTATAATTTTTCTTCTGACGATCCATTTATCACTTTTCAACAAATGAGGTCTTTTTTGATAAGACACTGTATTTAAACGTATCTTCACCAGAAAATCTGTTACCAGTCTGCATCATCGTTTTCCGAAACTCTACCTCACCACCAAAAAAGATTAAATAACCTATGTACATAGTTTTCCTGTCAACCTCTAGTTATTTTCATGATGGAAGATTAGTTCCCACCAACAAAGGGGAACTCCTACTTTCCAGTAGATGAACACCTTTCAAAATAGTAAAGCGGAATCTTATAGTGAATGCTAAAAAACGGAATGTCAACCAAAATAGCAACTTAGAAGATAACTATTTCAGCATTGGCATTGAAAAAGTCAGATTTATTGGATAAGCAGTGAATTCATTGCCAAGGTGAAAAATAAATTATACTGCTAATAGGACCACCAACCTTTATAGTGTGTTGCGTTTTGATGGCTACATGTGATTCACACAGTTACGATGGTATTTCAGTTACTGCATATGGGTACAGTTCATTGATTGCCAAATTTTTATGGAGCAAGCGAAGGTCTAGCAATTAAGCTATGGTTTAGGGTCTAAATAATGGAAATCCCAATATTATGATCTTATGAACTGGCAAGGTTACATCAAACAGATTATTAGGAGCTTAAGCCCATCATAGCCACTATAACCAAACTTTTATTTCTTTCGCGAGAAATGACTATGCAATGGCTGAGGAGTGGAGAAAAAGAGGTTAACTGATTGCACTTTTTACATACAGTGTGAGAACAAATTGCTTGACAGTTTTCATAGTGGATGAAGTGGAAAATTACAGGCAAAGTAGCTGACTATAGAACAGTACCTGAAGATAAACGATAGTGAAGTTTGAGCCCAGTTTAAATCTAGGTTAGGTAATAGGATGCAGCACCACAAGAATATGAAGGCGTTTGTCTATAATTCATTTGTGAGTATACCTTTGCCGGAAATTCGACCACTCATCGTTAGCGTCAAAATGTCTCACATTTTCAATATGCAAACAAACACTGGCGTATTATCTACACTGTTTCGAGGTTTTTTAGGTTAACTTATATATTCGGATTCCTGAAGTCTGTAAAGAAGTGACATTCTCACGGACAGAAACTAAAAGGTGAATGTGTGCTGCTTACCAAACCCCGAACCTTGTGTGTTTTGAGAATTTTCGCAAATAACTAAACTGTGTTGGGCTGCTGCAAGTTCTTACATGTACGGGTTAACGGTTCCATTTTCGATGGTAGTAAGGTTGTAGAGACGTTGGTATGAGGATTTCATAGTGTCATTCTCAGCGCTCCATGCTTCAGAAATTGGAAGTCAGACGTTTGATGGGAAATGGATTTTCTATATATCTGGAGGCAGGGGACTACAAGATAATTTATCAGTTTTCTTATCCAAAGTTCGTCGGTGCATCGGTGGCACAGCGGCTAGGACGCTCCCCGACCATGCAAGTGGTCCCGTGTTCGATTCCAGGCTGACGCACACCTGATATCAATGATTGGCCTCCTAAATTTCGGCTACCGATATTACATGCTGAAAATTCCATACTTGTACCAAAATACTGCGTGGATTCAAGCTATAATAATATAAAAAATAAAGTTGCTGGAAGTCTACTGGCTGAGAATTTTGGGTTACATTGCATTCATAATCAAAGAACCTTTTTGTTCGAACTCCAGCCGTGTACGTTTGCTGACACAACACCGGGGCAATAAAATTTAAAGCAGTACAATATACGACAATGACATTGAATGGAAGACCTTCTATGATAACAGAGTAAGGTTTATAGGAGCCAATACCGAATGTGTACAGACAACATAATGATACTTTTAATTTGTGCAACGCACCGTGACATAGCATCGATGAGTGAATAACGTTTCCAGCACAATTTAATGCTCATTATCATATAATTGTGAAAAAGGTACACGAAAACACCTCTCTAACATGGATTTATGTCCTACTACCGTGCCGAAATTCTACACTTGCATTAATCCTGAAAGTAAAACTGCAGCATGAATATTGGATCTTTGAATTATCATTCTGGAATCTAGTTGTATTTCATGTAAAGGTAAGTTCGTTACCATGTAGAATCCTGAATTTTAGAAAAAAGAGACTCTGATTCTTCGTTATGACAGTTCGTGGAGACAGCTGGTCCCAGAAGGCTGATATGGGTAGGATAAAAAGGCAGCAGATTGTGCCGTGTTGGTGAATGTGAGACGCTAAAAATAGTCACTTGTTCATTATTCGCTGCAGAGCACATATAGCTGGCAGGAATCGGAAATAAGAGGCAGGTACCCCATGCCCATACAAGTTAGCTTCATCATACATAAACGATTATACTGCATTATCTGGCCAAACCCCGTTAGCTCAATTTGTGTGTCATTTAGTCGAACGTGAATAAACTTGAACGTCTAGTTGCATGTGGTGGAAGTGGCTTGTCGAATCTGATTGCAGGCCGACAGTTTGAGACGATGAAGGATGTCGCTGAATACTCAAGGAAAGCAAATATACATCCTCAACTCCCCATTATACTTGTTCTGTATGACCAGAACTCTGTTTCAAACCAAAACGGGACAACAAGTTGCTCGTCAAAAATACGAAACACGTTTCGGCGTCAGAAATGTGGGGCGGTGTTGCTTACCCAGCTAAGCAGAGAGCATGTAAGGCACCATGCCCACAGGGCGTCGATGCTCGGTCAAGTAGCTTCAGCCAACCATCTAACTTAGATAGTGGGGATAAGTATTCACTGCTGAATGAAGAAAGCTATGTGTTGATAATTTTTCAAGAACCGCTCACGACTGCAGTTCACACTCTTGCTTGCAGGATAGTGATTATTCTAAGAGGAAACAAACACAATCAGATTGTAACGCATGTTACAGGGAAAAATAATTCACATAGAAGTAAGAAATATGACTTACATTAAGCAGACTGTTATTTTAAAAAGGAGAAATTTTGCTATTGCTCTGTAAGTTAATTGTGAATGTGCTTTGAGCAGTCCACGCTACGTCAAAACGTGTTTTCCGCTGTCTCTCTGGAGGTTTCTCTCGCCCTCCCAGTTTTATGCAACTGTTCAAGTACTACGAAGTACTCTGTCAGTGCGGTATTTTGTGAAACGACGGGTTTGGGTTTGACGTGCTGCCCTCTCGATATGCCGGCTTTAAGTGGTCGCTACTAAGTTCGTTATCGTGACTGTTCCTGTCCGAAGAGAGGAAGTTGTTCGCGTATTTAGCAGCTTTGTATGGTCTGTCGTGTCAAGGTTTCAGCGACTGACGTACAGCATCGTGACAAGCGGTACTATTTTAAACATGGTGGAACAAGAACGTTTGTGGATCGCAACCTAGAGGGTGGGAGGATGAATGAACCCATCGGGTTTTGAGCCTTCTAACTTCCGGGAATTATTTGCAGATGATGGGAGACAGGGTGGTGAAATAAACTCACCTGGCAGTAGTAGTGTTGTTCCACACACCCATTCAGTAGTAATACGCCTATTATGTGCCATATGCCTAAGCGAACCAAGAGTAGTGATTTATCCCATTTTGGATTGTTTACGGCAGATAGTCGAGTCTTGAACTCTTGGTGGCCTCGTTATACAATACCATTCTCCACGGCATGACAGGCTGTTTTTCGGGAACGCGTGCAGCCAAAGAATTTGGCTGGGCCACCGTGGAGATTCCAGCCAGGATTAGTTGTTATATAAAGTGGTGGCGTATAATCGGCAATCCATCATCCCATGAAACTGCGTGTAACTGGTTCACCAGATATATTCCCGGAGGATACTGTTTCTGGACATCGGATATAATGGCGAACATGAATGAAGAGGTGCTTACATCTGGCAGGTTCTGCATAAGGTTCAGCCAGGTGCGTTTGGATATGACCGAAGCGGACACATAGTATAAGGAGTATGCCAAGAGGGATTCTTCTGTGCCTTATTACTACATTTGTTGTGATCTATGCACTTACGCTTCATAAACCCACCTATTCATACCAGGCCATTTAAACTGACTACTGGTAAGCCTGGTAGTGCTTCAGATGCCTTGACGATACCTATCGAAAACACCGCATAGTCAGCTTTTCGGCACATGAGTGTCATGAGGACGCGGCAAAGTATCCTAAATGGGTAGGTAGGTAAGGTAACCTTCTTGAATTTCCGGCGCCTGCAAAATGGTTTCCATCAAATAGCCTACCTCCTCAACTTGCTTTTCTGGTTTTTGTTTTAATGGAGCATCGATGTCTGACAACTGTATTGCTTGCAACCACACATTTTAAGAATCCTCCTGGCTTATCGCTTTGAGTTATCCTCAAAACGTGGAGAAAAAATATTGCTGTGGTTGGTAGAAGACAATTAAGCGTGCAAAAATTAATCATTTGATAGTCTCCAAAGAATTTAGTGCGGGCTGTATATCTC